CACATTTTTTTGCGGGAGAGGAAGCGCTATCTTCTACGTGTTTCAGAGGCAGAGTCACAAGGAAGTGATTTTAAACCGGTTTCGTTGGTCTCTTCTGTCGATTTCGATTTGCTTGAATCACTTATTGACTTAGAAACTTTCCCCGGCGTCACTACGCGGGCTGAATTGAAGGACGAAACCCTTGAGAGATGGTTAATTGCTCAAGACAACTACTCGCTTGATAGTTTTACAGTTGATGAGCTTGATTCTCTCGTGCGCAAGTCAGTGCGTATTAAAACTGCTGAAACTGACCCAAAGTTACGAATAATTTCCCTCTTCACTGACTACATTACTTTCTTGCGTAGCAAGAAATTGGATAATATCAAGACGGACAACCCCAAGGCAGCTGTTCGCCATATCTGCAGTTTGCTGCGACCCCCGACGCTCCGGAGGAAAATTGAAAACGACCTGGCTTTGCACAAGTCGTCTTTAAAGAAAGACTGGAAAGGTTTTTACAAATATGTGGTTGATATGGCAGTGGCTTGTGAACAATTTGTCCCATGCAATGAAAGAGAGTATCCTTCATCTGCTTACAACCGTTCTGACTACGATAAAAATGGAAACGAGTATAACAAGGGCAGACAAGGGCCACAGAGACATACGGATCGCCGCGTACAACGGGGAAAAACTTCCAACGGGACATCTGGTGTGCCGAGCGACTTTCCTCACCCTAAATCGCGGTTTTCGTTTCGTAACGTTACGAGTGGCATAAACACGGATCCACATTCCCCAACTGACCCCCAGAAAAAACTCCCGCCGTCGTGTTTGAACACAAATACGTGTGCAGGCGAGAGACATTTTATCAACAAATGCCCGAAGTCGTCGCCAGAAACCAAGAAGCGCCTTTTGGAGCAATATTTACGAAACAAGCCCAAACCATCAGGTGCCTTGAAACAGCTCACTGTCTCTGGTACGATTACACCAGAACAGAATCATACCCTTGCTGAGCGCCGCGACGGTCGTATCAAAGCCAAGTTGGCGGATACCATACCCGTCATTATCAATGGTGATTATGGCTCCGACCATGCTGCATTATCGGAGACACACCTCAACAAATTGGCCCTCTCGGATGTTTTTGTTTCGGTCTTGCCCTTGGCAACCCCTATCACCATGTAACTAGCTGTCAAAGGCGGAGATCAGCCGATTGTAATCACGGCGGAACAGAAGGCTCGTATTTCAACTACCCTTCAGACATTGGAGGGACCCTTCAGACTACGCAATGTGGAATATATGGTGTTTAAGGAGCCTATGGACGAGGTTTTGCTGTCGAGGCCACTTCTACAGTCCCTTGGATTTAATCTCGATGATCACTTGGTACGTGTTCGCCGTCAGTACAATGATGTGGATTGCTCGCATATTTCCTTTCACGCCGACGCGAATATGGCAGCATCAGACCAACATGCCGGAGCTCTGTCTCGCTTAGTTTCTAAAGAGGTCATTACACAAGCAACCTTCCTGGCTGACAGCGAGGACGACAGTGCTGTGGCGCCTGCCAAAACAAAAAATGAACAGGAGACACCCGAGCTGGACATAATTGATGCAGGCGACCACGCTCAACAGAATGTAACCCCACATCTGGACCGCATGTTGACCGAAGCCATCGACAACGGCCTATCTTCCACCCATGCCGAAACTTTGAAAGGTATGCTCCAACAATACGTCGACGTGTTCCGTGTCAAACTTGGTTCCGATCCACCCGTCGATGTGCCACCAATGAACATCCGCCTCAAACCTGACGCAGAGCCCGTGCGTGTGAAACTACGACGATATGCGCCACCCCAAGCAGCCTTTCTTCGCCACAAAGTTGCTGAATTGGAACGATTGGGGCTTGTGCGACGTAACAGTGAGAGCTCGTGGGCATGCGCCCCTCTCATTGTACCCAAGCACGGACCGGAACAATTCCGATTCACTACAGATTTGCGACCTGTCAACAAAGTTACCCTGGCACATGCCTGGCCCATGCCCGACCTTGAAACAGTGATTTCTCGATTAGCCGGGAAGACATGTTTTGCTGCCATCGATTTGTGTCAAGGATACTGGCAACTGCCTCTCGCTGCGAAATCGCAGGAGTGCCAAAGTTTCATCACGCCTGATGGCGTATACACCCCTACTCGTGTCATGCATGGGCAGAGAAACGCTGTGGCTTACTGTCAAAGTTCAGTACAACTGATCTGCCATGATATCTCGGATAAGCTACTTCTTTGGCTCGACGACATGCTTTTTCACGCCAAAGACGCAACTGAACTTTTGGATACTCTCAAAAAGTTTTTCCAGCTCTGTCAGAGTCGAGGACTCAAGCTACATGCGTCCAAATGCAAACTTTTCCTGCGAGAAGTCAAGTGGTGTGGACGGTTAATCAGCGACACAGGGGTACGCATGGACCCTGCTCGACTACAGGCTTTGCTAGACATGCCCCATCCACAAAAAGGTGATGAGCTGCAACAATTCGCCTGTGCCGCTAACTGGATGCGCGCGGGTATTCCAGAGTTCACGACCTTGATGGCCCCTTTAATTGCACTTTTGGAAAACGTTTATAACAAGGCAGGTGGTCGGACGAAGCGGCGTGCCTCTAAGATCAAGCTGGGAGACGTCGGATGGGCTGAGGTACATTCCCAAGCTTTTAGCAACGCCAAGAACGCTCTTGCGCATTCCGTCACTCTCGCTCACCCAGACGCTTCGAAACTGTTATGTTTATTCACCGATGCCAGCGACAAGCATTGGTCCGGTGTACTAACGCAGATCGCGCCGTGCGAGTTGGACCTACCGGTGGCAGAACAAAAACACTCTCCGCTCGCTTTCCTTTCTGGTTCTTTTAAAGACGCCAGCTCGCGCTGGTCTACACCCGAAAAGGAAGCGGCAGCAATCATTTTTAGCGTCGAGCGCTTCGACTACCTCCTCATGCGCCCACAAGGTTTTCATCTGTTCACTGATCACAGCAATCTTGTTTTCATATTCAACCCCGAATACTGTGCAGCACGGATGACAAAAGCCAACTTGGGCAAGATACAACGTTGGGGTATGACTCTAGCTAATTTCAGCTACACCATCATACATATATCCGGAGAAGACAACTGCTGGGCTGATCTTTTGTCACGCTGGGGATCGGAGCCAGAAAACACTCGTAACCAGGCGGTGGAAGTCCAACATCTGCGCATTGCTGCACTCTTCCAAGCTCCCTTTGCCCCCGATTACGACCCAGATTTCACATGGCCGTCCACGGCCGACATTTTTGCCGCACAACAGGCGATTACGGATGAAGACAAATCCGATTTTCGTTTGACCTTGAGTGGTGGTTTATTTAAGAATCGAGACGGTTCCATCTTCATTCCGGCTACCTGCACCCATTTACAACTGCGTATCTGCGTCATTGGTCACTGCGGTCGTGCTGGTCATCGGGCGTTTGAAAGTACACACAATTCTATCAAAGAACATTATTTTTGGAACACCATGCATGCGGACATCTCATCCTTCTGTCGTTCGTGTCTGCATTGTGTCGCGACAGTCGCAGGGAAACGTGTCCCTCGCCCGTATGGCCATGCACTTCATTCCGATAAGCCCAACGAGATCATTCATTTTGACTTCTTGTATATGGGGGACAGTGTGACTACGCACAAATACGCTTTAATCATCAAAGATGACGCCTCGATGTATACGTGGTTACAACTCGCTACAGAACCAGACGCTGAGTCAGCTGTCCACGCTCTACTTAACTGGTTCGCAGCCTTCGGTGTCTCGCCAGTATGGATCTCTGATAGAGGTAGCCATTTCAAAAATATCCTTATGGATAAGGTTAATCGCGCGCTTCATGCCCACCATCACTTTACCACACCCAACACACCTCAAGCAAATGGAACAGTAGAAAGAGTTTGCCGCGAAGTCCTTCGAACTTGCCGTGCCCTTCTTTCAGAATTCCGTATGCAAGAAAAAGAATGGCCGTACATTCTTCCGATCACTCAATCCGTTTTGAACCACGCGAAGGTGGCGAGTCTTGGTCACCGTGCGCCTATTACAGTGTTCTCTGGTTTACCACCGGACAACCCTCTCAGCCTTATCGTTCCCCCAACACACTCAAAGCCCAAGTCTCTCGATTCAATCAAGCTTTTACGGTGCATACGTACTGACGCTCTTCTTGAATCGTTGGAATCCTTGCATCAAGACGTGGCCGCCCGAAGGACCAAACGCAGAGAGGCCTCCATCAACGCACATAATCGAAAGACCAATGTGCAACACGCAAACTTCTCTGTTGGCGACTTCGTCTTAGTGGCCAAGCGCATAGCACAAGATGGAAGAAAGCTTCAACTCCAGTGGTTAGGACCGCAAAACATTATCCGTGCTGTATCTGACTGGGTCTATGAGTGCCAGGATTTGGTCAATGAAAGGATCGCGCTTGTCCATGCCAATAGATTGAAGTTCTACGCCGATTCACAACTTAATGTGATTCAGGAATTACTCGATACTATCGACCATAATGACATTCACTACAATGTCGCACTCAAGCTCTTGGATCTGCGCTACAATTTCAGGGAGAAGAGATACGAGGTTCGCGTTAAATGGAAAGGATTCGCACACGAGGAACCTAATTGGGAATCTCTGCAGTGCATGCATGAAGATATCCCAGATATGGTGGAACAATTTCTAAAGACCTTTGCGGACAAAGCTAAGGTTCAGCGAGCCCGAAACTCCTTACGGAGTCTTTGAGAGGGAGGACTGTGGTACTGTGACACAGTACCTTGTGGGAAGTGTCAGCTGTCCCTCTCTTGCATTTGACATTATTTGATGCACCATGATGGTGCATGTATTCTAGAAGAGAGGAACTGTCTAGCGATTTCTGTAGTTTTCCGGTAGTCAAATCCATACATAAAGCCTCAAAGCCCTGAGGTTCAAAAGAATAAAGGGCATCGATCCCAAGACCTCCACGGGTTGTGGAGTGCTGGCAATAGAAGCACGCCGTATCTCGGGTTCTATGCGATGAGAACAACAGTTGTGCCACACGTGGTCACATGGTCTTGTTCCACGGGCACGCGATGAGAATGAGCACGTATTGCGATTCGGTTGGTTGCAAGCAAGCGGTGGTGGAGGTGAACAGTCCTCGCTTCTCCCGTGGGATGCGCATTGAGTCGAATACGAAGGAGCTGGAATACACTGTGTTTGCTGCGCGGCACGACACGCGCGCTGAGGAAAGCATGATTAGGATAGCTGTGCAACTTGGGTTGTGATAGGGTGTGCTGTCTTGTTACCGGTAGAAGTCGCTCAAAGCACAGTGCTGTTCGATGCGTTGAGTAGCATTTCATGTGGCGGATGTGTTTTGAAACGTCTCAAGACACGACCACCATTTCAGTAACAAGACTGTCTGCGGGTTGCGAAACTCATCGCACACAGATTCAATAGGGTCTGTGTAATGTCGTCAATAGTTAGCTGTTTCTTCACTCCATTTTGAGCTCGACTCAGCATTGTCCATTAAGAATGTTCGGTACGCACCGATGAACAGTTGTGCTGCGAACAGGGCGCACTTGCGACTTTTGTCAGGGACTGGTATGCTCTCGTGATCGGGAGCAGTTGCGACTTCTGTCAGGGGCTGGTACGCTCTCGTGATCGTCATCTCCGAGTGATGGGATCCGTGGGAAGAGCTCAACTTTTGCTACAGTAGTTGCGGGGCGTTTCTGGAAGGAAGCGAGGCCCTTGCAATTACAGTAAAATAAAATTACAATATAAAAAATTAAATTTACGCATCATTTCTTTAACGTACAGTATTTTTAGCCGTTGGCGATAACATGTTGCGGAATGTTAACTGCTATCCCGATGTTCCGCAACATCGGGATAGCAGTTTTCGATACACAGAAAGAGTAAGGATCTACAGTACTTGAATTGAAGAAACCAATTGCCCTTTTAAACGGGCGCTTTGAATCGAAGAATTCAATACAAAACGTGTCGAGGTTTACTCAGAAGCGTTTCTTTGCCCCGGCATTTCCGAAAACCACCAGAAAGGGGTTTTAATTCTTACCAACATCGTTCCTTCGAAATACAGAATTCAAGTACGAAAGTACGGTGGGGAGGGGGTGTCTTTCTCCTTCTTATGAAGAAAGCAAAAGTCTGGATACTGTACGTATGAGATGACCTTGCAAAATATTTTTCGCCCGCATATTATGCGGGCAACGGTCCAATACCATACAGAACAAACTAGTAGCAACTAGTAGCAGCCTGTCGTGCCACTAACGGCGTCCAGTGTAGTCGGGTAGCGCCTTGGCGCTAGAGCGGACCACATCGTCTAGACATTGAAGGGGTAGGCAGACATGGGGAGTTTCACGTAAAAGCTAGAATGGTGCCATGCAAGTAAAAAGACCGGTTTGCGGTCCTTGAACAACGGTAGTAAAGGACTGCCAAAACGAACGTCTGAGCAAGTGTTATTGGCTTTAGACTGCTTCATGGCATTCAAACAATGGCACAGGAGACTGTGGCTAGAGTTTTCAGCCATAATGAGTGTGTGCGAGAGGAAGGAAAAAGCCACCAGCATCAGTGCTTAGTTCGTAAAGGGGGGGTGCTGCAATTGTCGGACAGTGACAAAAAGATCGGACATGCAAAATATTTTGAAAATTATCTCCGACACGGGCCAAGGTGCACCGCCGCGCGTAACGGCACCAGACAGTGCGCCGTATCTCAGAACGACGTGGTTGAAATTAAAGAAAAAATATCTCAATCGATTGCTCACAGCTTGCTACGTATAAGAGTGTAACAACCCAAAAATACAAAACAGGCATACTTTTCTATTTTTTTTAATTTGCTTCGATGTCCGATCTTTGTGCGCGGTTGGGGTGCAAAAGTGTCCGCGCGCTTCAATCTCACTCCTCGTCTTTGTCCGTGTTTGTTTTCGCCAAGTCCCAGTAGACGAACGGCTGAGAGTGTTCCCGTCGCAAGACATAAAAAATGGTGATTGCTTGAAAATTACAAGTACTTTTTCCTTTTAATATTGATAGATTTACTCTCCTTGTCACCTATGCACGAAACCTTGCATGATCCATGAGCAATACCGGACGAGGCCCAACGGAGGACTCGCTCACACGGCCAAGGTAGAATGAGAATATCTATCGTCTTTGGCCCGAGCTCTATGACATTGCATGGTGTGCTTTCAAGATGTGAAGAGCGGTGGATTGAACAAGCGTCTACGTACTACAGTACACTACTGTATTCTACCACTTTATTGGCGATGCGGGCCCACGTCGTTCGCAAGAGTCAGCTGTAGAGGCTATCGAACGGGACAAAGCATTACATCATGAAAGTACGGTATTGCGAGAAAGAGAACGGCGTCCAGAGAGCATTTTCGCTGCTTCATTCACGTTCGAAGATTTACCCGTTTAAGTTTACATGCGTCTGAATAAACTGTCAGAACATCTCGGAAGGCGGTAACATGTCTCAGAGAAGAAATTGTTAATCTGCACGCATAGAACCAACGAAGGAAATGGATATGATAAATCAGGCTTGCGATTCTCGAAATGGGAATCTGAAATTCAGGGTTGATATCGCATACATGGCATATGCGCCAAATACAGTATTCTGCCAGCGGCCATCGTTTTTGCTTTATCGAGAGGCACCTAGCTGGAGCATTAGGAATGAAGTAGCTCTGCATTAGCGATATAAGTAGATACGTTTGCGGATAGATATCAAAAGAAAACAACGAGAAAAAGAACAGAACAACACAGTGCTTTAATTGCGCAACCAAATCCTAGTGCAACTAGTCCGGCATAGTCGAAGGCTCGAGAGGGCGTCAAGCATTGACAACCGAGCAGTGAGGAGACTGTTGAACCACGCGGCGACATACTTCGCGTTTGAATCTTAGAACCTTGCGCACGGAATCAGCCTATCCAACTCGGCACCCCTGTCTCCGGGCAACGGTGACTTGTTGCATCCGCTGCCCTTCGGTAGTCTACCTTCCTGCTGTACGCGGCCCGTTTGTGGACAAACCGGAGAGACCAACTCCTCCCGACAGTTCCTGTCGTACGCGGCACGCGCTCTCGGAAGGGTCGGCTTTTCAAGATCTGACTCGACATTGAAGTCAGACATATATTTACTTCGGTAAATATTCTACCAGCGCAGAGAACAAATTGTTACGGTTTTGACAGTTATAACTGTCCCTTGAAGCTGCAGCAACAAAACGGACAAGTATAGCTCTGCAAAACAAATCGACATGTGCGAGTCTCCTGTTGAAGAAGACGCTACAGTAGCCAACCCAAATTTGGAGTACATCCCTGTTCAAGGACAAGACCTTGGCGATCCAGCACCACCACCAGAAGGCGCTGACCGAGAGCTTGTCAAGGCTTATGAGGAAGACGTACGAAATTACAGTACGGAAATGTGGGAATGTTTAATGGCAAACAAAGCACTTCGCGAAGAAGAGCTTTGGATAGACTTCACGTGTACATTTCGGAAAGCCTCGATCAAGGCCATGTCGTCAACACAGCAAGTTAAATGGGTGGACTTCTTACGGTCGAGAGGAGTGAAAGTTCGGAAACAACGCGGTCTTTCGAGAGCAAATGCACTCACGGAGTGCTTGACAGCGGACACGTTTCCCCGTCTAGAACCTGAAATTTCGTGCACGCCAGTAAGGAATGTTGACCGGAGAGATGTGACAGAGGTTCATGAAAATGATCCTGACGAACAAAGCCGCAAGGGAAGTGCCATGAGAGACTTGAGACAACGTCGACAGTCGTATTCTACAAAAGAATTCGGCAGCGAAAAGGCACACGACATTGCTGGTATTATCACTGGCAATGAAGATGACCGCGGAGCTGAGGAGCAGTATAGTTTTCGGCGTATGGGGGTTTTAGATTCGAAACGATCTACCCATTCCCCTACTGCATCCAATGTGATACAAGATCAGAAACGCCATGATGGGACTGCGATAAGACTTCACAGTTCAGGGAGGGGTTCTGGTGCCATTATGTCGCTCATGAAAGCCTACGGCGGAAGAAAACTGTACGGAGGTCAATGGGAAGAGGATCTAGACGGTTCTCTGGAAGTCTTTGAAACACTGGCCGCCACCTGCTGCCTCACCGATGACGAAAAAGCAAGAGCCATTCCAGTAATGCTACGAGATGATGCACTGTCGTACTATTCTACTACGTTCAGAAACAGTGAGGCTTCATACGGAGAGATTGTAAACTCACTGCGCAAATGGTTTACAAGTGAGGAACAACGTAACAGACTCTTGCGTATATGGCAAAAGGCTTCACTTTCGGAGGCAATGCGACGGCAGCCGATGAAGAGTGAAGTGGAAGTATTCCGTGAGCTTTCTCACCGACTATCGCGAATACAGAACCAGTTGGATGTTCAGTACCACCGCGACAGCTTCCTACGAGACCAACTTGTCATGGCTGCGGATATTCCGCATCTCGAACGATCTTTGAGAGAAAGAGTACCGAAGACAGCGCACGAGGCAATGCACCGCATTGCCGCTTCCCTTTCAAATGAGCCAAGATCAGCAGGCGCAAATTGGACAGCAGTGGATAGTCACAACGATGATGTGCAAGCGCACTATGGCTTGGGAAAATCATTCGGTGGGCAAGCCCGAAAGCAATTGGGTAGCACTGTACGGCGTGGATACCATAAGAACAGACGTAGGCTGGCCAATGTCAAGGGTTGCTGGGTATGTGGCGGAGATCACATGGCAAGAGAGAAACATGCTCCCAAGGAAATCGTTGCAGCAATTGATAAGCTGAAGAACAACTCTTCGAACAAGACATACACCGTTGATGATCTTGCAGAAGTCGCAAATGCCCTATGGACAGCCGGAGATACAGATGAGGAGCAAGGCTTCATTTCTGATGAAGACGATGAGGCAAACATCTTGGAACTTCAAGATGAGATGAGAGATGAGTACAGTCTAAACAAATCCCTTGAGGAAGACATGGCAAATGCTTCTTTTCTGCATGGTAGGTCTTTTATCGCAGATTTGGAGCGAGATATGGCTTTCATGCATGCGCAACTGTCTCTAGGTGAACAGGACACGTTTAGAGGACTTATTCTGGACACTGGCGCCAATCGCTCTTCATGTATGTCTCTCTCACAGTATAAAGCATACTGTAGAGAGAACAACGTCCCTTTGTCTATTGACAGAACAGAGGGGAGAACTGTGTCAGGATTTGGAGGTTCAAAAAGGGGTTCGTTAGGGTCTGCTATTATCCCTGTACCTTTTGTTGATCTCAACGTCGTTCTTCATGTCAAGTTTCAGATATTTTCTCACAACTCTCCTTCACTACTGTGTCTTAGGGACATGAGAGAAGGGGGATTAGACATCAGC